CCTCGATCTTTTTATTTGTGACATAATCGATTATAAAATTTAGAAGCTTTGTAAGCGACATTTCTATAAAAGTTTAAAAACGGCATTTGTAGGCTTAGCTTAGTAGAAGAGCGTGTTGGTTTAAGTCATGGATGAAGAAAGAATAAACAATTAAAACAGGGACAACACAACTACATCTTTCAACTAGCAACAGACGAGTAAATTTTCAACAGCGAGCAGCCGACTATACCCAGTAGGAGTAGGGGAGAGAAGGGGAGAGAAGGAAAGATAAAACACGCGAAGTGCAAGTCAGGGTGGTAGGGTTATCTCGGATTTTAAAAATTCAACCTCAGTTTTCGTCAGCAGGAGGGAAGGGTTTGACACATTGTTTTTTGCTGTGGTCATGGCGAATGATTCTATGATTTCCCGGCCGAATCTGCTGTCATGCCCCCCGAGGATTTTTGTGCCATCAAAGAGGGGATGACAACTCAAACACGAACGGGCATGAATGACTATGGGATGATAAGAATCTGGAGAGGCCTTGGAAACTTCGTTGTGATGTTCGCGGAGTCTGTGATTGGTGCATCTGCCGGTCTGTCCTATGTATTGATGGCCACAGCTCAAGGGGATGGAGTAAACTTTCTTCTCTTTGCATGGAATGAATTTCTTTTCGTGCTTGACAGTGCATCCAATCGGAATCCGGTTGTTGTTTACCCGTTGACAGAGTTGTTTAAGACGCATGCGGCACGAGAAGACAACATTCGTGTCAAACTTTGAGGCAATGGATTTTATCCGGTGGGCCGAATTGTGTACGTAAGGAATGACGGCGAATCGGGCTTTCTTTTTTGTGGCTGGTGACTGGCGATCAGGCCCGCGAATCATCCTTTCCATTACAGATCGGAGAAGGTCGACGGGATACCCTGCCCTGACAAGCTTACTGTGCTGCAATTTGAAACTATCTTCTGAAAGATGACAGCAAGACTTCGTGAAGGATGAAGAAAACAACGATTTGATGATACCATGTTTAACCGACTTCGAATGGGCGCTAGAAAACGGTAGGACAGGTTTGGAAGATCTTTGTTGAAAGGCCCAGCAGAGTCCAGTAGCACTGACATGAAGCCGCAAATCTAGGTACTGAAGACCTTCATTCGATGGTTCTTCCTTCGTGAATGTAAGGCCCGACGAACAAGCGGAAAAAACAGCTGTAATGCTATCTGGAGAAGTTCGAGCAGGATGAATGATTAGGTAATCGTCTACAAATCTGAAAACATGGCAGCCAGGCGCGGAGATGTCCAGTTGTGCTTTTATAGCTCTGTCAACGAATAAAAGGAATAATTCACTGAGAACAGGGGCGAGACATGAACCGATGCAAACTCCCTTTTTTTGGCGGTAGATCCCTTTCTCATGTTCGACTAAGGTGGACTGGAGATATAGATGAATCAGGTCCACGAATCCAGCAACGGAGACACCGGAGGAATTCTGAAAATCCACAGCTCCGTGCTCAAAGATGGCGTCGGAGATTGAGACCAGCAAAGCGGTAGGATCTAGATTGAAATACATGTCTTCTATGTCAAGTGAAAAAATAGAGTGGGGCAAGGAGAAGAAATGTTGGGAACTGATGACAGAGATGAGTTCTATTGAGTTAGACACTCTAAAGGGTTGAGGGAGGTGGATGCAGGACAGATGCTTTTGTAGAAAGAGCCCGAGCTGCTTCTGCCAACAACCCTTCTCCGACAAAATACTTCGGAGGGGTACTCCGATCTTATGTGTTTTTGCAGTGAAGAAAACTGAAAGGTACTGCTTCGCGGGACTTGCACTTCGCGTGTTTTATCTTTCCTTCTCTCCCCTTCTCTCCCCTACTCCTACTGGGTATAGTCGGCTGCTCGCTGTTGAAAATTTACTCGTCTGTTGCTAGTTGAAAGATGTAGTTGTGTTGTCCCTGTTTTAATTGTTTATTCTTTCTTCATCCATGGCATTTGTAGAACGTGGTGTCTTTTTACGCAATTGCGACCGCACTACAGCCCTTCTTTTTTTAAATATCGAAAGTCGGAGTCCGGAAACTATGTCGCCTCCTGGCTTTTTATCCTCCCTCGGAAAACATGGCACCGCTCGGATAATGTAGCACTGACGATAATCGGCGAGTCGAGGAATCGGACGAATTTCTCTTTTTTAGGTGACCGACGACCTCTCACACTTTGGGAAGGAACTCGCCAAACGGTCAAAACAACTGGGTTTGATGTCTGTGTACCGTAGTTCACGCAGAAACGGCCCGACGTTACCGCGCGTTCTCTTCGACCTCTCACCGTTTAAAAAAATTTAGGATGGCGGAAATGGCCCTAAATGAACTTCAAACTCGAAAGCATGGCCCCCGTGATCCCGAAGCGCGCGCCCGAGTCGATCGTCGTCTGCCTACAGCGATAGACGGCACGCTTGGAGAAGAGCCCTGAATTGGGAGACGCGGGCGAACACGACCACATCGGGTCGGGACGGTTCGGAGGCGCGAGAGAAACTCGAGTTGCAGGACGGCTCAATCTGTGACGTCACTACACTGGCGCGGATCGCGCGGGAACTTCAAATTCGGCTTTAAAAAATTGTTTTTTTTTTTTTGTTCTTTTTTTTTTTTTTTTTTTTAGAAATGCCAAGTTTTTAAGTTTCGAATTTGGAGTGCGATGTCCAGGTATCGTTCTCAATCGTTCCGGATAAGAAAAAAAAAATGATTTTGACTTGTCAGTTTAGTTGGCACAGCATAACGGGCTCGGAATCTGGTACGGAGTTATGGTCACGAGGATTTCAGAAGGTCTACAGAAACTGGCCAATTATCATATTGTTCTCGAAACAATCAAGGGGGAATGAGAAGAACGTTGGCCGGTTAAATAAAAACACAACAACTCTAAAAACAATCAACAAAAAAAAAAACAGCAAATTAAAAGAAAATTATATAAATATATATAGAGAGAGGCATTTCAAACTCAGCCGAATTTATGCTTGTCTCCATTCCAAGGATCTGGCAGGAATGGAAAAATCATCAACTCCTTTTATATACATAGTGTCGTTTGGTGCGTCGAACACTTACCCTAAGTCTAAATAAGACGAATTCCCATGTATCCCTTGAAAGAGTATGCA